TCTCTTCTGTATGAATGCAGCTGTTTTTACAGGCTTGATAAGACTCTCACATGATGCTAGATATGAATTACCAGCAGGCCTGTGGGTACCATAGAACCATTGTGTGTCGTCCCCCCCAAGCTACCCCCAAGGGCTCAAAACCTACCTCCTCCCTCCTTCATGTCCCACAGCAGCGGCCCAGAGGAAGTACTCTTGATTCACTTGATGACTGTAGGTCCAAAGGGTGACAGTTAGTGGCCCTGGAAGCCTGGCATTCTAGGGTACTATTGTTCTGATAGAATTCAAAGAGGGTTGGGGGTCAGAGGGTTTATGGTCAAATCCTGCCTCCCCTTTTTACTGCTTCTGACTTTAGGAAGGATACACACCTCCACCTGGGACTCGGTTTCCCTCCCTGTCAAATGAAAGATTTGTACTTGAAGACCTCTGTGGTCCCATTCTACTCTCAATCAGTGATCTCTAGAAAACTCGCTAGCAAGTGTCTGGCCTATTGAAAAGAGAATTCAGTGTGACTGGTTAGGGAGAATAGACACCCAGATGGAAATATTCTCTGAAGATGGTCTGCTCCTTGGGAGAGGGGCTTTGAACAACAAGGATGGGAGTCAGCTACTCAGTGTCCCAGCCTTGAGGGTGCTGCCTTCACCTTTCCTGGTCTACAGAAGCACCAGCTACTGTAGCCCAGGCAGTCCCAGGAGAAATGGTTGAGTTCAGCTGAATTCCCCTTTCCATTCTTCCAGACAGCTGAAAGGGCATTTGTCCCTTGACACTCACCTTGCCCCCTGCTGAGAGCCTCAGGCCTCCCCTAGCCCTTTCCCTTCTCCCTCACAATCACCCCACACCCACCCCTGCCCCTTTACCAGCTGGGATCCTAGCTCCCAGGAATGAGGAGCCAGGGCCCTGGGTAGACTCCCGCATCTGAAGCAGGAGCTTCTCTCTCTTCGTTGGGCAGATGATATCTCCCATTCAGATGCAGACCTCTTCTTCCTTTCCTTGCCTGGTCTTCAGAGTGACAGGCTTGGCAGTTGTCAGACCCCCGCCTCCTTCCCTGCCCTGCGGATGTTCTTGTGAACTGTGGCTGCCTATTTGGGAAACATGGCCAGTCTTTGCCAAGCCTGGGCCTCAGTCGGCTCTGCTTGGAATGGGAAATCTCCAAACGACTTTCTCCTTCCTTGACCTATGGTTTCCCAGACCTGGGAGATACGCTATGTTAGCCCACTGTGTGTCTCTGCTCCTTGCTCTCCAGGGCTCAGGCAGCCCAAAGGCCTCCCGTGGACCTGCTTCCAGTGCGCACAAAAGGAAAGAAGGTACTGAAGGTTGGAGGGCTCAGGCCTAGGGAACTCTGTCCTGAACATCTCCTTCCTCCTGGGCAAGCTTAGCGGATTTCTACTATTTGAAGCAGCTTAACTAGACCCTCCCCAAAGTGGCATCATCTCTGGCATCATTCCAAGCCATGTCACAACACTCCTTCCACATTCAGGCAAACTGGATTACTTGCATTTTCCCACCTCCACACCATTGCCAACTGTTCTCTGTGCTTAGAATGCCCGGTGCCCACCTTTCTACCTCTTGAGTTGCTTTGTTATGGTCAATGTCAAATGTCATAAATTCTAGTCCAATATCTTGATATTAGGAAGATCTTTACCCCAACTCTTTCCCTTTCTAAGCCTCCGTTTTCCCATTTTTAGAAATACCATCATACTGTAGGACCTAGCCATAGGATGATTTTAAGGCTCAGATGAGGGCTTACGGGAGTGTTGGGCACACCATATTTTAAGCACCATATATGCTGGCCTTTATTACTGAATGAAGCCTTTTCTTTCCATCTTATATGGAATCATGAAACATGATGAGACCAGTGCCTATGGAGTCACATGACCTGGGCCCCAATCCTGGGGTTTGGCCAGTTTCTACCTTTATGACTCTGCTTTGTCCCTTCATTTCACTGGGCCTCAGTTTCCTTATTGGTAAATTGAGGGTTTTAGACTAGAAGGGCTGAATAGAAGAGAAAACATTTCTGAAGGACTTACGTGCCAATCCCTGGGGATGCAGACAGCTAAGGAAGCCAGTCTGGGCTCTCATGGAGCTCCCACTGTAAAAGGAGGGGGGACCCCTCATGTGGGAGGTCTCAGCTTCAGGGCAGGTGTAAAAGGGACAAGGAG